AAGAGAATATTAAAAGCAAAGGTACTCACTACCCAGGTTTCAAAAACACAGAACTTCCAAAACATACTGCATATTTTGCTTATAGACTATATTCAGCATTCTCCTACCACCCCCATTTTTTTACAATTATTTATTTTATGTGTAGTTATGTGAAATATTTTCTTTAATTTTGGAAATTCTGAAAAAATTACTTCTTTAAGTCTCACATTTTCTCCATTTCCTGTATTCTTTCCTTTTGGCAATCTATTCTTATACCTCTTAGGCTTGTTTTCATCTTTTCCATTTTTGTTTCTTTGGTGAATTCCCCAATCCTAGCTTCAGATTCTAATTCATTAATTCCCTCTTTTCTGTGTCCCACCTAGAGTTTATCTCAAATATTAAGATAGTTTAGAATTTCAACTTGTCTATTTTCATTACCAAGATCTGAAATTATTTCATTTTCATATTTGTCTGTTTTTATTTGCTTATATCTATTTTTGTTTTTTATGCTTAAGTGCTTTTAGTGGATATATCTTCCTTTCTATCAGGAGTTAGTCAATCAAACTTTTCTGTAAAGGGCCAGATATCAAGTATGTTAGGTTTTAGAGGCCACTTGGTCTCCATTGCAACTCTGCATTCTCAGCTCTGCACTCTGAAAGCAGCTGAGGATATATGTAAACACATAGGTGTGGCTGGGTTCCAAAAGAAACTTTACTTACAAAAACAGGTCACTGTAGCCACTACGGAATACAGTTTGGCAGTTCCTCAAAATGTTAAACATAGAGCTACCATATGACCCAGCAATTCCACTTTGAGGTATACACCCAAGAAAAATGAAAACATATGTTAATATAAAAGCTTGTATATGAATGTCCACAGCAGCATTCTTCATACAGTCAAAAGGTGAAAACAATCCAAATGTCCATCAATGGATGAATGGATAAGCCAAATGTAGTATATTCATAGGGTGGAATATTATTTGGCAATAAAAAGGAACTAAGTACTGACACATGCTATAACACAAATGAATTCTGAAAACATTATGGTAAGTGAAAGGAGCCAGACACAATTGATGACACAGTCTATGATCCCATCATATGAAATGTCCAGAACAGACAAGTTTATAGAGACCAAAAGTTGACTAATTGTTACTTAAGGCTCAGGGAAGTGGAGAATGGGAAGTGACTAATGGGTATGGGTGAAATGATGAAAATATTTAAAATTAGGTTATGGTGATAATTACATACCTACATAAATATCCTAAGGACCACTGAACTGTACAATTTAAATAGATGAACTTTATGGCATGTAAATTATATCTCAATGAAGCTATTAAAAAATAAATAAATAAAACTGGGAAACAGGTGAGTGGCTGATAATATCATAGTTTGACAAGTCCTGCTTTACATTTTTGAGGGTCTTAATATACCTATCAAAGTTATTCATAGTTTATTCTATTTCAAATTTTTTTCTGGATTAAATTAATCTCTTTGATTAACTGGCTGATTTTAAGTACTGCCTTTTTTAGTTTTCCTCCAATGTTTGGCACTTTTATGTTGTAGCTAATCTTGAGTAGAAAGCATCTGTTTCCTTGCTTGTTGTTCTCTGCCTATCTTTTCTGTCTAATGGTTCTGTGCTTGCCTCCACTCAGCCCTCCTGTCCAAAGAGGACTAGCTGATGTCCTGGGCCTCCAGTCCACATGGTGACATATGGAACTGCAGACAGTCTGAACTCCAGAAGGCTTGGCTCAGGTATTTATTTAATGAGATGCTTTGTCTACTCTCTCTCCTTGGACTCTCCGATTCCTGTAAGCCACAGCCCAAGCTCCTGTGGCAGCTCATTTTCAGTCTCCTTTCATGCAGGTGCTATTGCTCCAGTCTGCCAATCCTGGGTGGGACATTTACTTCCCGAATTACTGCCACAGCAGTTGAGACTCCTGCATCCACTGGCTTGCGGACTCAGAAAATGTTGGGTCTGTGGCTGTAGCCCCGCTTCCCAGTTTGTATTCCTGCTCTATTTCTGACCTGCTGAGATATTCATCTTTAAAAAAATTTTCCCTCATTTATCTTGACTTTCACTGTCATGGACAAGGAGCAGGGCAGTGGGCAAAACATGAATTATAGTGCCATCTTGATTGATTATTTTTCAGGTCAATGCAATGGAATTTTATAATCAAAGAGAGGATCATGTGCTCCTCGATAAACAGACTTTGTTTTCCCATAAATTTTGAATTTGAAATAAGTGGAGTATATCCAAGTAGAGGTGAGTTATAGTAGGTTGCAAATAAAATATGAAATATCAGGTCAGAGGTCAAAGCTGAACACTTAGTTTTGGGAATCACAGAAGTGAAGGAAAAAAGAAAAGTTCTAATAGTAATAACTTTCAAAGAGATATCTAAAAACAGGTGGGAGAAATCCTTTAATTTCTACTTTTTATGATATAGCAGATTTCTCTTTTTAATGCTATATTTAGCTTGGGGATATAGCCTATACTTATAAAATTTTTATAGTGCATTGATGATCATTAATTTATCTAACAAATATTAATTATGCCCTGCTATCCACTGAGTACTCTCCAAGGCCCTGGTGACATAAAGATGAGTAATAAATGGTCCTTGCCCTTAAGGAACTCGTAATTTATTAAGGAAGTCACCCCAACACACCAAAACAGGTCACCATTCCATTCTAAGATAAGTGCTATGATGGCTGTAGGGACAAAGTGTTTTAATGGCATAGATGAGGGAATGAGTAATTCTTAATTGGTGTGATTCTTGAAGGCAGTAATTCGAAAGACTGTGCAAAAGAGAGAGCATACTGAGAGCTTCCAGAATTTCTATAAAGGTGTGAGCAGTTATCTTGGACGGGGGCATGTAGGGGAAATTAAACTGTATTTATCTAACACACCACTTTTACTAGATTATGGGCTTACTTTTATAACTGTGGGGAGATTATGAAGAATATGGGAGAGTGACAAGACCCTTCCACCTCCCTCATCCACATTCTCCCACAAACCTTAATAAGCACACGGGTTTTATCTACTAATGGTGACAAGGTCAAAGTAGAGGGCTTGTTACATGAGCAAAGATGGTGGTAGTGGGTCAATTTTAAATACATGCCCTGGTCAGGATACAGGATAAACGGTAACTAATATAAGGATAAAAAGATGGCCCAGAGGTGGACTATAGAGACTCTTATACTGGTGGCTGGAGAGACTGGACCTCTTTTGGGCAAAGAAAGAGACCCTGAATGACTGTCATGATGGAGAGTGAGGGGATCCACCTTATGCTTTTGAAATGGAGACATCTGAAGAAGTGAAATGGGTTAGAAAAAGACTAGAACTAATGACCAATCAGGAAAATATTGTAAGAGTACAAGTGTAAAATAATGACTATTAGCTTGAATTATCATGAGAATAGAGGAACTAGAAATATCACACATATATATTGTTTTTGAAAAGCTACAGTAACAGCAATGTTGTGAGAGGTTTCCCTAGTCAAGATACAAATGTGCTAGAGATTTTAGCATTATATTAGTTTGAGGGCTATGTTTTCTAAAAATCAGAGTATTGTTTTACCTACTATATCCATGATGGATCAAATCTAAAAGGCACAGGGGTGATTTAGGGATGAGAAAGATTAACTCATTAGGTTAGGCCCTTCTGTTATCAGCACTGAAACATGTGAACATTGGCACTTTTATGTTCTACAGAAAACAAAACAAATCTTGTCACTTGGGGAAAGAAACAAACTTTCCCTTCAGAAGACAAGATGCATTTAAAAAAACTAAATCCTGAGTTGAATAATAAAGCATAGCTTTTGGATAAATTCTATGTCCCATGAAAAAGTAGGATTTCTACATTAAATCTTGCATTGTTATTGGAGAATTTAAGATTAATCATAACCTTACATGATATTTCTGCCCACACAATGTGTGTTAAATGAGAGAGAATAAAGAAGAGCTGCCTAGACACAGCTGTCCTACAAGTTACCCCACAAACTAATATAAAAGAGTCCCTTCTCTTTACAACAAACAGGAGGAAAATCTTTTCATATATTCCCTGACCCAATTCAGGAACTAGAAGGCTTTTCTTACATGAGAGTGACTCCTTTTATTGTAAGTGATAATATCTACTGAGCCCCTAATAATGTATTAGATGCTATTCTAGGGATTTCATATATGGTACCTTGCTTAACTCTGTAAAGCACTTAAGATGTGAAGAATTCCTCTCATTCATTTGGCTTTAGACTTGTAAAAGCTTAGAAAAAAGGAGACTCTTCTTCTTCATTGCCTCAAGAGGGATCCCCACACCCAGCTTGTAAGATTGTCTCTAACATCCCAGTCCCTCACACCATTTTAGAGAGAATTTTCTATATATAGGTGTGTGATTATTGTTCCTTGTTAAGAAAATTCCTAAGAGACTCTAATCTAACAACAACAAAAAAGAATCACATTATAAAAACCTGTGTTAAGTATGATTCAAAGGGAAAAAATGAGCTGCACTGAAAGCCAGTTTGAGCTGGAAACTCTTGCACTCTTAAGTAACCAGACATGTGTAGCCAGTTATGAAGCTGTCTGATCACATGTGTTTTTAAACATCTGTCAGCACAGTCAGAACTCCACATGTAAAATACAGCACTCACAAGCTTACGAAGGTTTGTTTTGATGAAGTCTCAGAATCTGAAAGGAATGTACAGATTTTACAGGATGAACACAGGCTGTTATTGCTTGAGTTGAAGAAAGCTTGGGGAGCAGTTCCCAAAGGCTGTGAGTCATTTACTTGAACATTAGTGTCTTAGGGACAAAACTGGGACCAGTGATAAAACCTCGGGAGCCCCAGAGAGAGAGAGAGTTGTTACCAAGTACCGAGAAGCAGGAGAAACTGGAGAGCTATTGGTTAACTTAGGGCTTCAGAGCCGAAAGCAGTCTAACTTCATTCCTTTTTGTGATAAAAAATACTCGGTGACATTGTCCCATCATTAAAAAGTTCCCATCTCCAAAGTACAAACACAGCTCCTTCCAAACCTGTAGCATTTGTTCTTCCTCTGAAGACGTCATCGTATGCCTTCCACTGTGGCTTCACCTGGTAGGCGTGGATGAACACCACAAACACCACCACAAGGCACATTAAAGGAACAAGGGCTGCAGTAAATAGGGCTGCGTAGATGTTTGGAATGAAACACCTGGACGAAAAGAGAAAAGATAACAGACAACTTTAATGCAAACATTTCTAGATTCAGAACACATTACATCACTACTCTATACTAACTTGTTGTTCCCAAATGCTGGCAAAAGCAAATTTTTGGCTTGCTAAATCGAAGCCTTCTTTACTCGTAGAGGCTACATGATTAAATCTAACCCACTGCTTCAAAAAATAGGTTCCGGGGAACCTATATGCTTTTCCAGCTTTATCTTGGTGGCCTAATGAGACCAAGGTCTCGGTGGGGACTGCACGAGAGGAAGTGTTAGGGCAAATTTGAGGACTTCCAGGACTCAACTCTATTTCCACAATCTTGTTTTCTGACTGAATGACAGTTTTGTCATTATTAAGCTAAACATTTCCCCAAGAACCATTAATTCTCTTGAAAATGATGACAGTTTTCCCTTTAGTAGCTATACTGCACAACAGGACCTATTATTACTGAAGTTCATTTAGATCAATGAGTCCCAAGGTAAACTTACATTATTTATTTTGGTAATGCTGCAATTCTGTGGAAAGTGGTTCTAGAGATGTAACTGGAAATTTTTACTCATGGGTCATAAAATGCTCTTGTGTTTTACACAAAGTCTTTCACAAAAACATCTCAAAGTGGAGGGCTTCGGAAGAGTTTCTCAATATCTGAAACTGGTTTTGAGGTACTTTATAAAGGACATACCTCCTACAACTTGTAAGACTATACTACTTTTAATTACAAAACATTTTAGCAGTAGGGAGTGTCTCTTTGCAAGTATTTTCTCCAACTAGTACATTTTTTAAGTATCTAATATCTATAAACCTAGATTACAATGCAAACAAAAATAATAGATTCTAAAGAAAACTCAAGGAAAAAATATAACCTGTTTAGAAGGAAACCTCAAAGTCCAAATACAGGTAGTCAGGGGAAACAGCCATTCTGACAACTTGGGAAAATAATGTTTTGATTTGAGACACATTATTAAAGACCTTAGTCAGATATTATTTCTAATTAACATGACCTGCTAAATGCATTCCTCATGTAAATAAAACACATTTCAAGAAATACTTCAATACACATTCTGCATCTTCCCTGAACACCCACCTGTATGTCAAAAGACCTGTATCTTCCAGGTAGAAGGCATATGATTAAATAAAACAGGCAAACATGAATGGCCTTGATTTGAATATATTTCTGCACTAATAATAGTGGGCATGCTGGCTACTCACTTTTGTGCACATTGGCATGAAATGCTTTCTTACTGCTTTCATCTGATTTATGGATTCACAGCCATAGTCTGGCCTAAAGGTACTTAGACAAATGAACTGACAAAGGAACTCACACAGGCTTCGCTGCTTTACTTTTACTCTGAAAACTGTCATCACAATTCAATTTCAGGCTGTAAAATGGGGATAATGACAGAATCTACTGTGAGCTGCTGGAGGAATAACAAACATTTTTCACAGTCCTATGGTCCAGGTTTGTATCTATACTTTCCAATGACTGACCAAGTTTGGTTCCCACTTTTCTATTTGACGTGCTCTCCTAAAAACTTTCCTGTACTTCACAGGATAACCTTTGAAAGCTGAATCCCAATAAATGGCACACCTTCCTGGTTAAACACTTATGGGCAAGGTTAGTAGTGACCAGGCATGCTGGCAGTGGCTCTGGGGAAGAGAAGTGAATTTCCTAAGTGCCACAGCTCTTAAAAATCTCCCTTGCAATTCTCCCTGCTTGTACATGACTTGGCTATGCTGGCCCACTGTTTTTTCAGAGAAAGGGGCAAGAAAATTATCCTATCCTGAAGTGACCCACTTTCCTCCCCGTTTCTTCAGAGCACCACAAGTCCTAGCCTCTCCTAAGTACAGGCTGCTGAGAGGGCCCTGTCTGTCCCTCACATGGTCAACACGGCACCAGGTCATTAATGAGGGCTTTGGACCCACAGCATAGCTGCCTGTGTTGGTGGCCCTCCTACCTTCCCCTCTACCAGGCGCTATCGTACTCAGGGCCCTTCCCTGGCCCACTCCTGTCCAGCTATAACTCCATCCCAGGTTCCCTGCAACAAAAACATACCACCTCTCAGGGACTAGGGGGTCAAACAACTCTTCTGAAACACTATTCTTTGCAAGTGAAACAGAGCTGAAGGGGTAACCCACAAGCATAGACAGCAGTTAGGACCCCACACTTTGCATGACCCTGTCCTGGGAAGTAGGTGAAGCAGACTGTTACTCCACACCCCACATTGTATCTCATATAATAACAACTGCTTGTTCTACATTACTTATATTTTAACTTTTCTCTTAAAGCTAGTAGGTATTAGTCTAATTTTCTGATCACTATTGTCTAATGGGATTTCTACTGGTCCAGAATAAAACTTCCTATGCATATTTAAAATTACCCAAGATAAACGGAGCATATGCTATCTTAAAAGAAAAACAAAAAGGCAGGCCTCATCAGCCAGAATTTCCTTCAGTCCAATCAAGTAAGAGGCACAGTACATTCACGTAGTTTGAGGATTAGATCACCTGGAAGTGATGTGGGAAGTTAGGAAATTGTGAATATCACATTAGAAATAGTTCCTGAAATAAGGCTGAGAACAAATTCTTGGAAAAACTGAGCGTAATGTAAGAAATGAGCAGGCAGGATGCTCTGCACACACAAGGGCTGTGGAAGCAGTCAATTAACAGGCTGGCAGCTATGGCTTCAAGAACAGATCTGGCAGTCACCAGACAATGAGACAAAGGCCGTGTGGATTTGCTTTCTTAAAAAGGGCGAGGAAAGTGTGTTCCTTGTAATTACCAGCTCATCCAGCTTCAAAGTACTCCTGAGACCTTTCTTTTGGTGTCGAGTATTCTTCTGGGTTCTTACAATCACACAACTAACTTTTGCTGTTCCCTTTTAAATGTCCATGGGTAAATTTTCTTTCCTATTATAACCCCAGACAATCCTAGTTTATTTCAAAATCTTTTCAGGACTTCATTTTTAGTTTTAGCCAGATGAAACGAGTAAAAACTGTTTCCCAGTTTTTCCTCTTCCAAGTCTACCCTTGGAGCTTGCACAAAGCCAGACGTCACTTTCTTAGTAAGAGGATTACCTCCCCTAGGTAGCACTTTGCACTTACGCATTTTCAACTTGCAGTACCTAACTTGATTTAAAAAAAAACGTATGTGGGTGGCATGAGGTATTTCACTTTCCTTGTTACTGCAGGAAATCAGAACAAGTGGCAGCCCAGAAGCAAAGGAGTCCAGGAGAAACATAAGCTCCATTTAACAGCTGCTGGAAAGTACTGGGAGGGATGCCGGGGACTCCCTGTACATGACACTGTGATTTGAGTCCACTTAAATTATATTTTAAAGAACAAGTTGATCCTGGCAAATGGGAGGACTTGAAGAAATCCAGGCAGATGACATCTGGGTTACATCTGGGTTACACAGGTAATGAAAAAGGATCTAGGTAATGAAACAATGATAAATCTTTTTTTCCAAGTTCTTCTTTACAATAAGAATGATAATAGTTATGATTCACAGGCTCATGTGTCAACCGCCCCAGGTAGGTTTCAAGATTTCTTTAATGATGGCATCTGTACCAATAGCTACACTTTTTGCTTCAACTTTTTCCTCTCCACATGGAAACTGATGGTGAGGCCTACTTTATCTGGAGATAAGATAAAGGAGATAGTCTGTTTATTCTAGAAACATATTTAATGTATGGTGGATCAAGAATTGTACATTTACTGCAAACTGGTTTCTACTTTGTGTAGAAACTACAATATATCTGTTTATTGACCCTATTAGTTGAAGAATACAGATGTTATTCATTTTGAAGATGCTTATTATTTGTAAATAAAATCTAAGCCAATACTTACGATTTCAATATTCCTTTCCTTTCATGCCCAACTTCCTTCCTTCCCAAATAAGATGTTTTCTTATCACACACGTTTTTATTCACCTGTGAATTTATGTATATATGTATGTATGTATGTATTTCTGGGTGTATGTATTTCCTGTTTCATCCAAAATGGCTGGAGAGAAACACTTTAAGCACATTAACTGTTCCTAGTTAATAAATTTATGATGACATCAGAATGAAGAGAAAATAACAGTCTGGGTTTAACAAGCTGCAAGGTAGGAAAATATATCCTTTTTTCTTTCTGTTGTAGAGCATACAGAGGTTTTTGGACCAAGGGAAATCAGTTGAATTCTAAAATGCATTTTCCTTTAAGTTTAAACTTTAAACAAGTTAAGATTACAGATAAGCCTTAAATTGCAGATAAGCCTTATAAAGTGAAATCACATATTAGGATGACATATGGGCTTAAGAGAGGAAGGAGAGGAACAAAAGAGTTCCCTAAGCTGAATTAGCTGGATAACACGAGCTGTCTTAAATATCAGTACCATTCCTACTTTCATCACCACTGCTGATAGTACCAGCAGTGATAGTTTACTATGTCCAGGCAAGAAGCTCCACCCTCAAGTGAGTCGTCACACACAAACGTCACAATGAACCCATGAGGCTCACTGTACATATCGAAAAATGACACCTAAATTACAAAAGGTCAAATTGCTAGTAGCATAAACAGGCTTATTTGCTTCCTACAATTCTAATATTATTTCCACAATTCTAGTAATGACATATTAGAGTTAGTGGCAAACAAGACAGTTTTCTTGAGGCTCATGACACTAATATTGTCTTTCTATTTCTCCTAGGGCTCTGCATAATCAGACCCTTAAGAAAGGCTTCTTGAGCTAATTTTCAGCAGTCTTTGAAAAGCATTCACTTAAAAAAAAACTAGGCACAGAAAGTCCTGCCTTTCAAAAGTGCACTCAGTTCAGTCACAATCCAAGCAACATTTGAGTATCATATCCAAGGTGTGTGGAACATAGACAAGGAAGGGCATATGAAAGTGCCTAAGGCATGGTCCTTCCTATCTAAAATATTATATTTACAATAAATGTATAGCACTTCAGAATTGAGTCTTCTATGCAAAGTGTTGTCCTTCCATCAGCATC